AAGAGATTTTATAACAACATTTTTCATTCAAGGTCAAATTAAGATATTAGCTTCTATTTTGGGATGACGTATTAAAGTCGGGTCCGCTCAGCCAGTGACTCCTCATTAACCTGACCCACTACTCCTTACTGCAGCATTTGTTGTTCCAGTCCGCGTGGCAGCAGATCGCAGATTCAGCCACACCTTAAAACAGCAATAAGTCGGTCTGAGGCAAAAGTGAACATCATGGCTATATCTTGTCCCCTATTGACATTTGATTACGCACAAGTAGGTGATCAGCTCAGGTTTACGCAGAGCAGAAGGAAGGAGGGCGCTCTGGCCGCACAGGTTAAACGTTCCTACTTTAAGAAAACCGTTAAATTGCATTGTTTATGTGCTACCTGGGCACTCTAAATATTTATTTAAAATTAAATCAAAGAAAATTGTAATGGTATCGAATGCTTATTAATTACTATTTAAAAAATGAAAGTGATGGGGAAAAAGGTCGATCATGTTTTTTTAACCCTGTCTGTGTAGCTTGACATCTGATATATATATATATATATATATATATATATATATATATATATATATATATATATATATAGCCATGCCCTGATGTGGGGGCGGGGGGGGGGGGGGGGGGTGCGTCGACATGGTCAGGACATAGAAGGGGGTGCGCGGCTAAATAAGTTTGGGAACCACTGGAGTAGACTATACAGGTCATCGGATGTTCAAGATCCAATGTCTCCCGTTTGGGGGGTACTATCCCCCACCTGCTGCACGGCATGCTGCTTTAAAGTTCATGTTCTTTCGGGGCATCAGTCATACATTGGTGATCTTCTTAGTCCCTACAGCCCCAGCAGGTCCCTGAGGTCCAGTGACCAAAGCCTACTGGTTGTGCAGCACCAGGCTAAAGACCAAGAGTGACAGATCATTTGCTGCTGTATCCCCCAGACTCTGGACCTCTCTCCCCCTGAGCCTGAGATCAGTGGACTCAGTGGTCTCCTTTAAAAAGCAGCTGAAGACTCACTTGTTCAAGTTGATTTTGCGTGACCGTCGTCACCACCCTCTCCTTATTCTGCTCTTTCTACTTATTCTACCTTTCCTTGCGATCCACTGATTTCCCTCTTTCCTATTAATTATCTTTCACCCTTTTCTTACATTATTGTTTTTTTTAATCACAATTTCTATTTTATTTTCTCGTATCATCTCGTCTTCTTCCGCCTATTAGGGTACGGGTCGCCCAAGTAGGGAGTTCCAGACCGTCCTCTCCCCGGCCACCTCCACCAGCTCCTCCGGCAGGACCCCAAGGCGTTCCTAGGCCAGTTTGGAGATGTGCTTTCTCCAACGTGTCCTGGGGCAACCAGGGGCAGCTCCGGCTGCATGGGCAGGCAATGGGGGTCCGTGCCCGCCCTGGACCAAAAGCAAAAAATGTTTCCTTTTTTTCATAGGAGTAGCCATACTTCCGTGTTTTTTGATTGTCAACCCTGCAATCCAATCAGAGAAGAAAGGCAACATTTTAACCAATCACAGATAGAGGGGGTTGGTCGCTCTTAGTCTGGTTTCCAGGCAGTCACCATAGAAGAAGATCTGTATGAACGCTGAACACCGCCATGCTGCGATTCTACGTTCAACATGAATATAGAAAAATATTTCCTCAAATCCAAAAGGACGTGACGATGAAGGTGCAGACAGGCGGTGGGAGTAGTAAACGGCTCCACGTCTATTGTAAACGTGAGCATCGATTTAAGCAGCCACGCTGGAATTAGCAATCATGCTGCGAGAGCTAGCAACAGCACCCATGGAGAACAAAGAGCAGCGCCGAGCAGCATAACTCTTCTACATGGAATAAACAACGTGAGTGACCTAATCTACAAAACAAACACGGAGATCCATCGTAGTAGCTTTACAGCTACGAGGGACATCAGGCCACAACAGATTAGTGATCTTGGCACAGAAAAGCCTCAAAGACCAGTCCTGCAGAGCTGGCCTTCGCGCCTTCTCAGGACAAATAGATCATTTTGCTGTTCCTGGTATGGAAGCTTTCCCTGGCTGGAGTATTCAGTTCAAGCAGATGCTGCATTCTGCTACACATGCAGAATGTTTCAGGGACCCAGACACACTGATGCGACCTACAGTATAACTGGTTTTATTGACTGGAAACACGCAACAGAGTGTCAATCAATCAAAGCTTTATTTATAAAGCGCCTTCCGCGATCCTGTTGGGAAGCCCAAGGTGCTGAACACGGTACATGAGAGAAACAGGTAAAAACAAATGGGTAAAACAAGAGATAAAGAGACAGATGAAAGCAGGGAATTAAAATCAACATGAATGACGGCCAAACTCAAACACATTCAAGGAACGCCAAGCGGAGGAGGTGGGTTTTTAGGCGGCTTTTAAAGGCTTGCAGAGATGGGGATTGCCTAACTGAGGGTGCAACTGGTTTCAGAGTGACGGTGCTAGGACTGAGAAAGTGAAAGGAGAGTTTCACTCTGCAGAATTTGTACTCTACAGGCCTTTCTTTTGAATTTGTATAATGATCCCAAACGTTTCAGCTACGTTGCGACTCTCCATGTTTTCTTTCTCTGGTGACGAAGGCTGAGCTGGATGCGCCTCGGAGCTATAGCAAACACCGAACGTATAGCAGCAGGCGAGATGAATTTTTTAAAATAAAATACGGTCAGTTTTATTTCTCAATGTCGTCGCGACTAATCGTGGCAGCCTGTGGGGCACAGCCCAGCAGCAGAACCAGGTAAAATGTTCCTACTTTAAGTGAAATTGTTTCATTTTAACATTAATACGGTCAGCTTAGAATAAAAGGAAAAATGAATAAAAATCAAAAGTGAATTTATTATTATTTGATAAATTAAAATGATGGGAGGAAGCGATCGTGAGCGTTTATTTTTTAACTCTGTCAGTCAAAATGAAAATGTCTAGCGTGACCTCTAATGTAGTCATTGATTTTGATCTGCTTGTTAGTTATATGGACACATCTGTTGCAGCGCCTGTGTGAGTGGAGTCATGTTTTAGGACGGCTACTTTTTACTTTTACGTGATTATAAATATGTTGAAGTAGGGCTACGCTTACTCAAGTGACATGTTTTCGGCAGTAATGAAACGTCTGAGCTCCATTTGTTTCCTTTGAGGTCACAGGGATCTACATTGTTGATTGTAAACATTTTCTGAAAATGTCGAAGCCTATCCTCCTTCCTGTAAGGGGTGTGTTCGTCCTCGTTAATTTTATCCATTCTTTTGACACTTGTTCTGCTTCAGCTCCAACCGCGGCTTCTCCTAGCAACATGAGACACACGCCTAAAATGGCACTAAGGGGGTGTGGCTGAACAGGCAGGTCACATGATTGTCAGCCACGCCCCCTGAAGTGAGGTTCAAACTCTTCATCAGACGACTCCTACATCACTGAGCCCTAGTGTTTGAATAAAAATATATAAAGATAAAACAATATTCATGTGTAGTAAATTGAATATGACGCACAAAGACATTTAGAGTCCAAATGAGGCCCAAACCAGGACTGGTTGTGTTGTAAGCCAGCACCAACCATGCTAAGTAACCAGTAAACCTCTGGTACCAACCAGGAGTAGGAGGACTACACAGAATGTGGTGTTTACTCAGGATGTGTGTCTGAATAATTCTTATAATGTACATTAATCCTTTCTTGAATGACATAGCAGTTTAAAATGTAAACTGGCCCATAGAGCAAATGCTAAGATAAGCTAATGAAGCTAATGATATGCTAGTGCCTCCTAATACAATGCTAACAATGTGATGGTAGTGGGTTTCTTTACAATATAGATTATTTCAACTGTTACTGGTCATTTAATATATACATTTATTGATATTCTTTATAAAATTGCATTTTTTTTGTAGTTAATAGCTAAAGTTTTGGTTGGAAACAACATTCCTACCTTAGAAAACTCCATTTCTAAGGCTAGCCGAGTTCTGGCAGATGCCCTCTTTGTTGACTCGCCTTTAACTGCATGTGCACGTTAGGAGGCTTTTTCAGGAAGGGCGGGGGAGGAGCAGTAGCTGTTCAAATCTCCTCCTCCTCTGCTTGCTCTTGCAGACCACAACTTCAGGTCAACACAACTGATTTCATCAACACCTTAAAGAATGCCTGACATGAAGGATGAAGCTAGGTCAACCTGGTGTACCTAATAAAGTGGGAGTTGATTATATATTGGTGGAACACTAGTTTGACCCAAGCGAAGTGAAGGTCTGAGTGTGAATAAGAAACATCTGAACAAATTCCCCATCAGCAGTCGGATGCAGTTCTCTTAATCATGATGTAAAGATCATGGAGATTTTTGGGATCAGCGTGAAAACTCCTCCACCGTAACTTCACACTCATTCTCTCTCCTTTAATCTCCTACATAATAATAGTGATGGGAATTCCGGCTCTTTTTAGAGAGCCGGTTCTTTTGGCTCAGCTCACCAAAAGAGCCGGCTCTTTCGGCTCCCAAGTGGCTCCTCAGATTTTCTGTTGCGTAGAGTACATTTATAACCAAAATAATGCTAAACTAAATGTAAATTAATTTACTAATGTAAAAAAAGGCAATATATCAAATATTTATCATTTCTATTGATTTAATAACTGAACACTTTAAGAAATCTCCACTTTCTGATTGCTGGCGCTCATTTTCTCACTGTCCTCGTCGCACTCTCCTCCCTCTCACTTGCCTTTTTCCTCCTCCTCATTCCCTCTCGTCTCCCTCCTCCCACATGTGCTCTGCTGTGTGTCTGAGTATGATCCTCCCTCTTCCCCGCCCCCTACTGCTCTGTGTGTGGACAGTCTGGACACACAGTTACACACATGTTGACCAATCGCCTGTGGCTTTCACCGGGGCAGGGGGGAGGGGGGAGGGGAAGGGACGGCTCCCAATGACGAGCCGGCTCCCGTCGTTCACTTCAAAGAGCCGGCTCTTAGAGCCGGTTCGTTCGCGACCGACACATCACTACATAATAAGGATGAGGATGAGGATGGATTGTTCAGGTCACTCACGTTTGTGGTTACTCTTGCGCTGGAAGGGCAGGGTGTGTCGTTCTGAGTCTTCTTCACCCTCTTCATCAGCCAGGTGTGTGTGAGTGTAATGGTAACTCAAGCCCGGGCGGTTCTTATATCGCTTTCCACAGACTGGAACACACACACACACAAGTTTAAGTAACTGTTTGAATGGTCTAAAGTGTGTTTATCATGCAGATGAGCAAACCACTCGTCACAAGTTAAGTGAGCTGTGTAAGGATTTCAAGCCACAAAGTAATCACAGTAGTTCCTGCAAATGCTATTTAAAAACTTTTACGTTGTCATAAATTTCATAATTCATTTTTATTATCAGTGAATCTAAAATTACAGCATCTAGTGTTACGTGTGATTTCTGCTGCTTATGACCCCATCGTGTTACGTGAACATACATGTAAGGCCCGCTTTATGGAAGTGAAGAAGGAGTTTTAAGGACTGCGGTGACATTTCTGAGATTAGAACAGATTAGAAAAAGCAGAAACGCGGTGTATGTTTGTTTCACAACGTTTGCCTGATTCATTTTCAGTAATCAGAGTTTATTATTTACTCAGCAGAACTACTAAAACACCAGTCTGTTTGATGAAATGACTCACTGTGTTATCTAGGGTTGGGCATCTTTGATTTTGAATGATTCCAATTCCTCGTTTCGATTCCGATTCTTTCAAGACGTGAGATGTTGTACATGAGTCAGCTAACCACAGGTCCTACTGGATGAAATAATCTTAACTTCAACATGAATTTTAACTCTATGAACAACAACATCACCTTCATTTAGACAAAAACATGTTTTGGAGACAAAAGAAAAAGACTTGCAGCACAACCAGTGTGTTTGTTTCTGACCACAACCAAAGTCTGGAAGCAGCCTCTGGGATGAGAGGCTAAATGTCTCCAACATATCCAGAAACGACCAGCTGTTTTCAGCTAAAGCTCTCAGGATGATCATGTCCAGGATGACCGAGAACTACACCTCCATGCTGCAGCAGCATTCCGTCAGAACAGGAAGTGAAACTTAAACGTAGCTGCTGTCAGTAACAACCTAACAGATTTTAAACATTAAAACTCTCAACAGAAACAGTTCAGAAAGGAAATTAAAATATTATTATTATTATTATTATTATTATTATTATTATTATTTTATTTTATTATTATTTATTGTGGCAGAAGCTGGTGTGGTCCACCACAGAGAAGCTGCTCTAGCATGATGCTTTTAATTATTTTCAATCAATCAAACTTTATTTATGTAGCACTTAATCATGCAGTACATGTAACTCAAAGTACTTAACAAATTAAAAAGGCCCCACATACCAACATTCCCTCCCATCCCCAGCATTTTAAAAACAGTCCGACAATAAAAACCCCTTCACAACGCTCCTCCGGCACACACACACACACACACACACACACACACACACACACACACACACACACACACACACACACACACACACACACACACACACACACACACGCACGCACATGGCCCCCGCCCCCCGGAAAAAAACATGATGGGCTGAAAGCAGATGAGCCAGACCAGCTAAGATAAGGAAACGCCATCAGGGGAGCCATCCGCCCCGACAGCAGCAGATCCACAGCAGCAGCCGAGGCACCGACACAGGGCGCCCAGGGCAGGGAAGGCAGAGACCCCCACCACCACCCAGGCACACCTGGAAAGCACCTAGGCCGCCACAGCCGGCTACCGCCGCCAGGGCAGAGGGCTCCCACAGAGGAAACACTGGAAAAAGGTTAAATTAAGGTTAAAATATATAATCAAAAGAGCTAAAATGAGAATTGTAACATAAAAAGTGATATAGATTTTAAAATAATGTTGCTCATAAATCTAAGGTAAAAAACTGTTTAAAAAGCACGTATAAAGAAATAATACATTAAATAAACGAAATAATTAGACAAATAAATAAATAACTTAATTAATTAATTAATTTTAAAAGAGATAGTAATCAGTTGAAAGCTAAGCTAAAAAGATGGGTCTTGAGCCAGTTTCTAAAAACATGAACGTTCTCAGCAGCCCCGAGGTCCCCTGGCAGCTCGTTCCAGAGGCGAGGACCGTAGTACTGGAAGGACACCTCACCGTGAATATGAGTGCGGACTTTAGGTATGACAAGGAGATGGCTGCCAGAGGAGCGCAGAGACCACGAGGGTTCATACGGTAAAAGCAGTTCTGAAAGATAAGAAGGCCCAAGACCATTAAGACACTTAAAAACCGTTAAAAGTCTTTTGAAATCGATCCTGAAACATACGGGGAGCCAATGCAGTGATTCTAAAACTGGAGTAATGTGCTCCCGCCTCCTGGTCTTTGTCAGGACACGTGCTGCTGAGTTTTGTAATAGTTGTAAACCTGAAATCCTCTTTTTTGAACAATCAGAAAGCAGGGCATTACAGTAATCTAGTCTACTGGTGATAAAAGCATCAGCATCTCCGTATTGGCCCGAGAGAGAATGGGGCGGACTCTGGCGATGTTCTTTAGATGATAAAAACCTATTTTGGTGATATTTTTAATATGATGGATAAAAGTCAGCTCAGAGTCAAAGATGACACCCAGGTTCTTCACTTGTGAAGATGGATTAAGAGACAGTGAAAGTAATTTTGGTAAAAGTTTCTCTCTGGGCCTCAGGACCGATAACTAAAACTTCAGTTTTGTCCTGGTTGAGTTGGAGAAAGTTCTCTGCCATCCAGGATTTGATGTAAAAAAATACAGTTAAAAAGTGCATCCATTGGCCGAGAGTCATCAGGAGACACGGAGATGTACAACTGTGTATCATCAGTGTAACTGTGGAAATTCACCCCATGTCTCCTGATGACTCCTCCAAGAGGGAGCATATAAAGATTAAAAAGCACTGGGCCTAAAATTGAACCCTGGGGCACACCCCATGTAATCCCATGGACCCTAGAGGAACAGGTATCCAGACTCACCATGAAAGTCCTGTCTGTGAGGTAGGATGTGAACCATCTATGTACAGCACCAGAGAGGCCGATCTGTTGTAAACGAGTTAAAAGAATAGTGTGGTCTGCTGTATCGAAGGCAGCACTTAGATCCAGTAGAACCAACACTGTCACCTTCTGTTTGTCATAATTTACTCTAAAATCATTTAAAATCTTCAGAAGGGCAGTCTCGGTGCTGTGGTTCACCCTAAAACCAGACTGAAATGTCTCTAGGACATTATGAGTGTTTATAAAATCATTTAGTTCACTTAAAACCAACTTTTCTAAGATTTTGCTCAAAAATGGTAAGTTGGATACCGGTCGATAATTGTTTAATTCATTAAAATCTAAATTGCTCTTCTTCAACAGGGGCCTCACCACCGCCCCTTTAAAGGCAGCAGGAAAGACCCCCGTCTGAAGGGAGCAGTTCATCAGGGTTAAAATCTCGTCTCTAAAAGATCCATAAAATTGTTTAAAGAGCAAGTCACCCCCAAATCACATTTTTTTTTGCTGATAAACTATATAAAGGAGTGTCTAATCGTGCTGCAGACACGTGTAGTCAATAATTTGGCATTTCAGTGCATCTTGGTTAAAATTCAAATATTCTGCCTAAAACTGTCAGTGTTGCGCCGTCGTCAGGGAAAAATTCTGCACTGAATTTGAATTGAAATCTGCCACCGCTATTGGCTAAGAGGTATGCTATGATGTCATCTGGTATATTATGATGTCATAATGCCATTGTGAGCCTGTGTGTGTGTGTATTTGTTAGCAGCTCCGCCTTCTCGGTCTGCCAAGCAACAGCATTTGTTGCATTTTTCAAACATGAAGTGGGAGTGAAGTAAGTTTATTGTAGGGGGTAACTTGCTCTTTAAAGAACGAAGTTGGAATTGGGTCCAGAACACATGTGGTGGGTCTCACTGAGGCGGAAACTTTATCAAGAGTCTCAGCTTCTACCAGGACAAACCTGTCCAGTGTTTCCTCTGGTGGACACACACTCTCAGATGTTATTGTTCAGCCTTCTGACGCTCACGCTCACACACACACACACACACACACACACACACACACACACACACACACACACACACACACGAGTGTTGGTGAGCGGCTGCGTCTGACTGCTGACGCTCCGTGTGTGTTTTTATTTCTGCAGTGAGACAAACTCGCCTCACACCGTCCAGAGTTTGTTCTTTAAGCTTCTATTAAATCCACCGTGTTGACGTATTTAACACGTTTCCTCTACGCTGCAGGAGTTAAAGTTTACATCACGCAGTAAAAGTTCGGCAGACGCGTTTATTTGTATCTGGGTGGGGGAGGGGGGGGGGGGGGGGCTCATGCTGCACACAGACAGCTGGTGTGATCAGCTCTGAAAAGCGTTGATCACAATTTGCAGATTACGTTTATTTTTCACGGAGATCAGCCGCGGATTCCTCTTCCAGTCGGCATTCTGGGAATCGAAACTAGAAATAGAAATAAAAAACTTTGAACGATTCTGGGAAAAACTAACAGTTGGTCCCGGTTCCAATCGATGCTCGATGCCCAACCCTAGTATTATCCTCTAGTACCAACGGACTCAGACATAAGTTTTCTTTTTAAATCCTTCACAATAAAAGTCCCTAACTACCCAACTTTAGAAACGGATCATACGAGGACTACTATCTAAAAAAAAAGTCACCGTCTCCTGGAATGACAACAAGCTTAATGGGCATCGTGTTTTCATCCTGCTGACTATAATCAGCTTTGAACATCTGCTAACCTCTTTGGTAAAGCTGCTGTAGCAAATCTGCAGACAAGCTAGGTTTTAAACGTAAACACGGTTATGGAACACTCACCCCTCTCCTCAGGTACCTAGCTTCCCTGAGATGCATGCTTTTGCCGGAACCAGAAACCCACATTGTCAGAGGAAATGAGATAGCACCAAACACCAGTTGCTGATTTCTACGTCCAAACATCTTTTGTTATCCGTGACTTCAAATGGTGTTTTTCTTTTTGGGTCTCTGGTAGTTTGTCCTAAAGTTGAAGTGGTAGCAGCCGGCTGTTTCTCCTTTTCTGATACTATTGAGTGGAGAACCTCTCACACCAGGGGTGTTCTGTTGCTAAATCCATGAGTGTGTAATGATGAGTGATTGGAGGACCCAGGGAGGTGCAGCGGTTCAGCAAGACTGACATCTGGGTGCTCCAATGGCTGCTTTTGGTCTGAAATGTGTTATTGGTAGAGGCTTTTACACAGACGCGAGAGAACGTCTTTATTAATTTTTTAAATCTCCACAATATATTTCTAGCTATTCTATGTTAGAATGTTGTTACGAAGCATGACAAAATGTTTTTAAAATGCAGCCGTAGAAATACACAGGAAGTAGGGTGTGTGTCAGAGATGATACTCTGTGCAGTTTATGATGCAAGGAAGAGCCATGCTGACTGGAACCATGCCTAAATGAAGCATGTGATGGAATAACGGCATAAAATGCAGATAACCGAGTAAAGCATGCAGATGTAAGAGGAAATACTCACTGTCACAGACGTAGGGCTTATCTCTGTCTTCTATGGTGGGCAGCTCTTGTCTCTTTCTCATTCCTCCAACACCATAGGCCTGCAACACACACACACACACACACACACACACACACACACACACACACACACACACACACACACACACACACAGTGACAAAAGTGCACGTTTGGATTCTAATCATTAGCTCTCAGTGTAAAGCTACAGTTCCAGCAGGAGGGGGTTGATGACACCTAGCAGGAGAGCAACAGTTCCAATTAGCAACCCCGGTGTGTGTGTGTGTGTGTGTGTGTGTGTGAGATTCATTGTTACCACTTGATTATCCTCCAATGAGATGCACAAAAAGAGTGGTGGAGAAAACTCTCAGCTCTAACCCAAGTGGTAAGGTCATCTGTGTGATTTAATCTCTCGATCTGTTTGCTTTCAATGGTAGCGAGTCGAGTCCTGGGTTTCTCTTTTTAAAATCCACCACACCCTCTACAATTTCATCACATAGTTGAGTGTACAGATGACACACAGACGATTACAAGCAGCACAATGGGAGGAATGGCTGTGTCCTTCCTCCCATTGGCTCTGAGCTGAGACGGTTATTAAACGTCCACTCTCTCCCTCTGACAACCAAACCAGCCATTATCTTAACCGCTTCATCCTCACTAGGGTCCGGGGGAGCCGGTGTCCACAACATCAACAGGTGGGAAGTGGGGATAATCTGGACAGGTCTCTCTAGTCCATCACAGGGGCAGATAGAGACAAGCAACCAGTCACACACTCACTCACTAACCCTAACTCCACACAGAAAGGCTGTAGCCAGGATTTGAACCAGCAACCTTCTTGTTGCACTGCCATGCAGCTCACAGCTGAACATTTTTTATATGTATAAGTAAAAACTGACCAGGGACATAAAGGCCAAAAGAGTTGTCCTCCTACCCGGGATTTGGTACGGTTCTTGCGCTTCGGCACGTCTTCCTCCATGTCGTCCACCTCCAGGTCATGAGGGAAATCCCCAACAAGCAACTTCTAGAAAAGACAGGCAGGTGTGCTGTCAGAGAGACTGGTTCCTTTTTGACTGATTCTTTATCTTAGACCTTTGGGTTGTATGAACTAGTCGACTAGTCGACTTCACTGCTCTGTAGTGACTTTTTATGCCTGTCAGCGACTAGTCGCTGTCACGTGATAATGACCGACAAGATGCAGTCCTCGGAAAAGACAGCAGGTGACGAGCTCCTGTGCATTGGGAGGCGACGCGCTGTGCCAGAGCGTCGGTACTGACACCCGCCGTAAAACGGACATTTAACCAAATTGTGACCTTTACCCTCTTGCAGTTTAACCTTCCCCTCACCCCCATCCTAACCTAACCCCGGCTTTCCACAGGAGCCGTCAGCAGCACGTTACTGCAGCAGCACATCATAGCTGCTGATAGGAACCGCTGTGGTCAACAGAACCTTTTCCACTGGAGCCGTCGGCAGCCGTCAGCAGTGCGAGTCGGCCGCGTCTCAGGAGCAGCATGTCGCGGCCTTTACGCGCCGGTTCTATTTTCTACGAGCGGCGCCTCTGAAACGGGTCAAGTTCGACATTTTTGGGGAAGGAAAGACAGGAAATCGGATGCGGAAACGGAGCGAAGCTACCGAGATTTTCGGAATAAAGAATGTACTGCCTTCCGGTTGCTTTACTTTTAAAAAACGTTACGAACTGTGCGTCCCCGTGAGAAGTTATCACCTAGCTAGCGGTCTCCTTTGTTTTTCAGGTCCGTATTGGCGATTATAAAACGGACAGAACATAAAACACAAACCATGTTGTAGTTTTCTCCTGCTTGTTGTTGTGTTTACTGACGAAGTCACTCGTGTGACTTCGTGCTCTGTCGGTGACAGCTGCTCCCCTGCTGCTTCGCGTCTCGTGGGAAGGGCCAAGCAGCAGCTTACGCGAGCAAGACGTGCTGCTGCAGTAACGTGATGCTGACGGCTCCCGTGGAAACCCGGGGTTAACCAGCTTGCGCATGTAAAGCTCTGATCGTTGACGCGCTCCAGACACCTGCGTCCTGAGCACGGCCACAGTAACATTATCAAATCAGGTGTCGCCACCTCAAAAACTAATTTAACACGCGATCGTTCATGTCGGCTCATTTCCTTTTATGTTTTCTGTCTTTTATTCTTTTATTTGTGCCTGATGCCTTTCGCTGCTGTGGAGCGGGGCGCATCACCTGTTTTGTCCTCTGGTGACGCACCTAACTGATGCGGCCGGCGAGCGCTCCGCTGTTTTTGCGGTCGGTAGATCTTTTAGAACTGCAGTTCAAAGGTAACTCATAAGGTGAATATAAATGAACCCAGGTAGCAGTTTTTCTTTAGGATTGAGAGGAGATGCAGGAAGATAATAAACAGACAGGACAGAAAAATAGTCAAATAAAAACAAGTTAGTTTTTGTACCTGCTGGTTGCAACAAACAGACACCATTGAAGGTAATCAGAAGTGAGGAACAGAAAATGAAATAATTATTTTAATGTTTAGAGCAGCAGGAACTCCGAGAGGCTGCAGGCGCATCAGTGAGTTTGCGGCCGCTGCGCAGGGGGAGGGGGGAGAGGGCTGAAGCCCCCTCCCCCACCCCCCACCCCATGCGTCGGAAAAAATCGCTTGGTCATCCATCGTCAGTTTTAGCCGCTTCAAGCGTATGACGTCATCAATGACTAGTCGAAGTAGACTCGATTTTCATTAATTCACTGTCGACTTTTAAAAGATTGTCATGCAGCCCCTTCTTAGAACCTTTTTAAGCCACAGAACCCAGAATTTAAACACCCTGGATCTTTTTCAGGAGACAGAAGTTTATTTCTACTCTGGGCCTTTTGCATCTCTAATGAAGATTCAGGGTAAATGTCATTAAGTTAAAAGCTGGAGCCTCTCCTCCACTTAAGACAGTTGAATAAAGTAAAGTTTGGTAGAAGTTTTCTAAATTCGGTGTTATCTAAAAACGTGTATTTACTCCTGCGTGTATGAGAATTTAGTCCCTGGAAGGTCAAACACAGGAAACAAGGTTTAAAAATGGAAAAGGTCCTTCTTTTGTTTATTTTACTCTAACAACCTAAAATCAGAGACCCATCAGTGAAAGTGAAACTCCTAATGCAGTTTATGGAAATGGCCTTCTGATGGATGGGAGGATCAGGGCGGCTAGCCTGGTCTGGACTGGTGAAGATGGAGCTGAGCCAGAGAGGGAAGATCTCCATTTACAGGTTGCTCTTGGTCAAAATCATCAGCTCTGCTCATGAGCTTTGGCTAATGACCGAAGGAACAGAAGTGTTTGTCCACCATGATCATACCAGCCACCAAAATGAGCTTCCCCTGAAGGGGTGAGGAGCTCGGGCATCGGGGAAGGTTCTGGAGAGCTGCTGCTCCTCCATTTCCAGAGGAGGTTGTGTGGGTAGATGTTTCCTGGAGGTGCTTCAGGCACGTCCCTTTGACCCAGGACACACAGGACAGGACAGTCTGGGCTTCCTCGCCCCCTTGTGACCCAAACTCAGATTAGCAGAAGACCACTATATGTGATGATACGAGACATCCACAGAACAGCCAAATGTACTTCTGTTTTTTAAACTCACTTCTATTCTCAGTTAAAGGGTGTTATATTCAGAATGTCTGTTTTACAAAGCTCGAGTGCTCTCAGCAGCTCCATAAAAATCAATCTCCAGAGGCACATCTATCCTATTTTGGGTCAAGTTAACCAGTTCCAGTGCTTCCTATAACTGAACTTAATAGCATCTTTTATTGGACTCTCATGTGTCCTAATGTTCTCCGCCCATTCCGGGCTCTTTGAGATGAATAAACTGACTCTTGTGTGTAAAATCAGCTGAGGAGTCCTTTTGTTTTTGTTGATGAGGAGGGAAAAGGCCTGGCTTTCTCTTGTAAAATGTAAAGGAAATGTGATAAGTGTAGCTCGATATGTCTGTCTCCTAATGAGCCGGAGAGCAGAGCTGGCCTGGAGATGAGAGAAGCCCCGGATTAGATGCCCTAAGCTCTCAGAGGGCCACCGCAAGCGCTACTCGCTCAAGTGCTAATCAATTAGATGAGTTCAGAAGAAAAGCTTCTAGTTACTGCAAACACTCCACAAACACAAACGATCTTTATTTAAATTCGTATTAGCAACCTTTCATTTTAAATAAGAGAAATTTCTGTAGTAAAGGAAATCCCACACATATGCAGACCTGGATTCAGGAGGAACCTTCCAGACCCACATGGAGAATACTCACCTGACATTCACTCATTGACTCCTCTTCCTTGGTTTCCACCTTCTTATCGATGGTTTCACCAGCGAGCAGCGACTCCAACACAGGACCGTCTGGGATTCCGCCGTCTTTCTTTAGAGAAGCCTCGTAGTCTGAAAGAGAGCCGAACACCTGAGGAGACCAATGCTAACAATTGGTTGGAGAAATGATCTTCTGCATGTTGGTATCAGATAAGAAATTTTCTCCAGGTGCATGTCAGTAAAATACTCAGCGTCAGCACAGGGACAGACAGTTTCTACACTGTAAAAAGAAACTGTTAAAATTTAACCAAAAATATAAGTGTAATAATTTGCACTCAGTTAATGTAAATTCTAACCACAACTTTTAACTCATTCACTGCAAACGACGACTAAAGTCGACTAAAGTCGTCATTTGCTTTTTTTTTTACTGTGTGGTTGTCGGACGAGCCCCCGCACCATGAGAACAAACATCCCAGCTCTAAAGCCGATCTTCATCCATATGCGTCACACGTCACGTGATCAGGAAGCAGAAAATTCATGTGTTAGGAGATCGTTTTGGGCCGTTCTCGTAAAAAAGGTGAGGCGTGAACCGGAAAAGCTTCTGCCGATCACAATTCAACAACGGATTATAAAAGAACGGGTAACGCTCGAAACGCGTGGATTCCTCCTGATGTAAGAGGTGAGTCTCCGCTTTGTTTTGGTTGTTTTGGCGTCGACATCATCCTAGCGTGCAACGTTCTGTCACTCTTAAAAAAACAGTGAAAACGGTGAGAAATGCTGGCAGCAAAGGGCTTTACCGATCAGGAAATGGCTGGAAATGAATGAGTTAAGAAAATCTTATTCAAATTACACATCTAAAAAATACTTGAAAAAAGTAGTTAAATGCAAATACTCTTATTGTATTATTATTTAAAGGGACTTTACGGAGTTTTGAATTTTTATGCTCGCAATTGCCCTTCAGGCCAAAAGCGTAACGGCAGCTTCAATAGTAGGCTCGTGCACGAGGCACGCATGCTGTACGTGCACACTCCTTAACGAAAATAACAGCTGAGACAGTCCCTTGTGTGTGTGTGTGTGTGTGTGTGTGTGTGGCCTGGAGGACAGAGGACAGGAGAACATGCAGCTAATTAATTAAATAATTTGGTTCTGTATCTTTCTCTTCAGCACAGCCGACAAAGGTTTATTGAAATTAATTAAACTCTAACTAACTTTCACCTGGCACAGCTGGGATCAATCCTACAACCTTCTGTCTACAGAACCACCTGCTCTACCTTCTGAGCTATACTGCCATATGAATAGGTGTGTAAAAACTATTTATTCAGCCAAAAGTAATACTAATCTAGCATATTTTGTTTTACAAAAGTTGAACTAAACTTGCATTCTTCGCTCTCGTCCGACAACCGTGAGCGGTGGAGGTGGGGTGATGCTTTAACGTATTGGAAGTGTGATGTGAGAGTGTGTGAAGAGGGTCAAATGCGTGTGTCTCACGCTCAATGCGTGAGAGTTGGAAAGCCCGGTGGTGGCTTTCCAACACCGGGCTGCACAGAACTGTACACACATACTCTGGCCAACAGATACAATTGTTCAATTTGTTAATTAAATAAATTTGGTAATCCAGCAGTGCTGAACTAGTATTTTTGGGTAAGTACTACTCATTATAATTAGGTTCTATTTGTTAATTAGATAAAATAGGTGGAATTGACTCCTTCTTTTTTTACTTCTGTCTTTAACTAATATATTTAGTCAGATTTTAGATTATTTTATTGGGTAATTTTTAATGTTGCAAATTGCGACGTAGTGATGAACTAACTTTTCTGGCTAAGTTCTAATCCTTACAATTAGGGTTTATTTTTATATCAAATGAAATCTGGTTGGAATTAAATAAATGTTTCTTTATTTCAGTCTTTAACTAATAAATTTAGCGACATTTTAGATGGTTTTATCGTGTTATATGTAGCATTCCAAAACATCTCTTTTTTCTGAGTAAGATCTCAGAGGAATTTCCTTTGAACTAAACTCTAATCATACAGTATCTACTGCTGTTAGAAGGTGTTTCCTTCTGAAAATATTTTCCTGTTTTGCTTTATTGTCACACATGAAAGTTTCAGGTCAGCAGACAAAGATAACCTGACAGCAGGTTCTTACCAGAGAATGCTGCTGTTGTGTCCTTGGGCAAGACACTTAACCCACCTTGTCTGCTGGTGGTGGTCTGAGGGACTGGTGGCGTCAGTGCTCGGCAACCTCGCCTCTGTCAGTGTGCCCCAGGGCAGCTGTGGCTACATCGTAGCTCATCCCCACCAGCGTGTGAATGTGTGTGGATGACTGATTGTGTTGTGAAGAATCTTGGGGGGTTGTAGAACCCTTACCCCAAAATTCCACTATCTCCGCTCCGCTCCGGCATGAAATCCGCAGCAAAAACGGTCCCGTTGTAGTCAATCAGAGCTGTTCCACTACTGCAGCCGTGCGGCGCAGTGCGCCGCCCACCATTCCGCCATCTGGCACAAATAGGATTGATTCTATTTTTGCCGGACGCCGGAGCACCTCCGCAGTCAACGGACAGAAATCACAACCGTCCAACAGGAAAGGGAGCAAACACAACTTCCGTTATTTCACAATAAATCGATTAACAAAAGGCGTTTTTTGTTTCATATGCACAGGTTTAACAACTTTTAATAACTTTCAATGGCGGTTGAACTTTAAATGCACAAAAATAAGCCATAAATACAGTTTCTACTATCAGAGTAGCCACCCTTTTGTTGATCCAAACACTGCTGATCTCTCAACACAAATGATGGGCAGATTAAACCGTTCATTTCGATGCTTCTCCGACACAACGGCCGTTTGGATCTAACTTCCGCATTTATTGCTCGGACTGTATCGCAAGATCTCGAAAATCCCGCACATGCCCGTTTGCGCACCTCAGGTCTCCGCACCGGAGCGGAGCTGATGTAGAGCGGGTACCAGTAAAAATTGAGTTCAGAAGCGAGCGGCAGCGGAAAGCCAAGAGTCAAGAGTCAAGAGTCATTTATTGTCATATTCTCCACATGTGCAGGACATACAGAGAAATGAAATTCAGTTTCAGCACACACAATTCAAAGATCAGACATACGTGGGTAAGACACATAACAAGAATTGGTGACTGCGGTCATTCGCAACATGAGTCGCGCTACCTTAATAGTTAGATGAAAAGGGTGTTACATGAGGAAAGTTCAGGGAGGGGAAAAAAAGGCATTACAGGGTTACACCAGCAGGGTGTAGCACTCCAATGCAAAAAAACACCCGACATGGAAGCACAGACAGCACGTGTACAACATCAGAGTCCAATGGGGAGGTGGGGGTGGGCGGGATCCTGAAGCCTCCAATGGGAGCTGCCACTGCGGCGCATCGACCAGCTGCAGAACAACAGGTGGGAGGGAGAGATAAGGATCAGAGGGCACATTGAGGTCCCTGCAGATATAGCCTGAAGGGAGAGGGTGAAGGTCGGGACACAGCATCTGTCGGCATTCCTCCTTTTGTGGGGGTGTGTTGAGGCAGCCTTGAGAGGCTGCTATGGCGTCAGATAAGGATAAACATAACTTTGTTTAGGGCAGACAGAGATAGTCTTCCTCTCCGTCTTGTAGTCTCTAAGTGGTCATTCATGTCCACCAGTGAAGCCAATTTTACATTCCACATCCCCGCATCGTCCGGCGACCCTCTCCGAGATCAAATCCATCTTGCGCACTAACACAGGCAACGCCGCAAGGACATTGTCCAGCTTACGGTTCACCTCGAGTAACGTCCCAGTCTGTGAGGTCACCGCACGAGCGGCACATTCCGTGGGTACGGGTTGCACTCCAATCGCTCCCGTCTTCCCAAATTTCCAGAAAACCAGATATCCTCCCACTCCAATCAGAAGAAATCCAGTGATCATCAGGCCGAATATCCACAAATCTTCCACGTCCTCGATGGACAGCTGAGAGAGGCACACGAGTCGCCAGACCTCCCAAGAATCGAGTGCATATCCCGATGCGAATGTCCCCTCGGGACAGGTGGGAGCCCCCTTCTCCGTTCTCATCGTAGAGAAAATTTTGTCAATCACGTTGAATGACCAATTAATTAAGTCCATATTTCCAAAAAGAGAGTAGTGGTTTCAGGAGAAATGTAGAGAAGTGCTCTGTAGGCAGACAGGACAAGAGCCTTGGGGAAGCCGATAAGGGAGCTGAGAAAAAAGCGTCTGTACTCTCTGAAGGCTGAAGAAGGAAGAAAGCGGGGCCGGAGCGGAGATAGTGGAATTTTGGGGTGAGAAGGCGCTGTACAAATACAGGCCATTTCACATAAATACAAACTGCCATTTCAGACACAACTTTTCTGACAACATGAAGAAAACACTCCAAGCTCTGTCCTACAAAAACCCCAAAACTCTCCCATAACAACATCTATTCATCAAATATCGCATCCATGGACGAGTCCCAAGGCCACTTGCTGAATATTCCCAAAGCCTTGTGGGTAAATCTCCTCTGGAAGGCCGTTCCTGCTGGATACCCTCTGATGTGTCTAAATTCAGACGATTCTGTAGAGAAGAGCAGGACAGAAGTCCTCCAGAGGGATGAGACTCATTAGCTGTTAGCACCGACAGCTTCATCAGACAATGAACGTTTTATCTAAAGTGATTTAATAATGTCTTGACTGCTTCACATTAATGAATGAATCAACATAACTGTTTATGAGCCTTATTTCAGATCTTAAACACACCAAATGAGTCTACTTGATGATTTAATAATGATTTATTATCAGTTATGTCACATATTCAGGGGAATACGGACCGCAACATCCAGAAGTAAACTCTTGGCTTACCAAGGAGACTGTCCATACTTACGGGTACTGTACCTCTGCACTGGAGTTGGATGGGTTAAGATTACTTTGATGACTTGTTAAACCACCTTAAACAAGCAGCCAGACTTATTTTATAAACACAGACACACCTTTCTGAGTCACTCAATTAAGCTCTTAATAACATACAAGGTCACGTGTGTGAATGGGTGAATGACTGATTGTGTTGTAAAGCGCCTTGGGGGGTTCCAGGACTCTAGAGGGCGCTGTATCAAATACAGGCTGTTTTATGTTACATCAGAGTTTATTCATTGTCTCAGTTTATATCACTTCGAATCACCGTTTATAATCATTCACCATTCATTATCATTACTAAAAGAAATAACATTTTTATCAACTATATTTTTGCCTCTGGGTCAAATTATTATGAAGTGTTGTTTCCCTGGCAATACCCAAAGTACCTAGTTTCATAGTAATTAAATATCAAAGGCTCAATAACATAGATAATTACATTTTATTGACTATTATATTTTATTGAATACCTTTATGTTCAATTAACAATTTATTAAAAGTAACCACTTATAAAACTTTACACCATACCTCTAAAACCAAGTATTAGGGTACTTATTGTGAGGACCATCAAAATGTCCCCACAATGTGAAACACCATAATAGCAATGCCAGGGCTTAATTTGAGCCGGATCTTGCCGGAACAAGATCTGGGAACCATCTTATTTTCAAAGGACCATTCCGGCAACTGTCTGCTAGGATCGACAACTCATGTGACCAACTTGTGCTATACGCAGGGTCCAAATTACAGGTGAGCTAAAGGGAGCTCCTGGAAGCCCTCAACACGCCCAGGGGGAGCCCAAAAACGATTCTGGTTCTACTTATAATACATTATTCATGTGGACTCTGCTGGGATCATTTAGAGCTGAGAGGCGCAGAGCTCTGATCCAGACAGATGCGTCCTGAGCGCGGCCACAGTAATATTATCAAATCAGGTGTCGCCACCTCAAAAACAAAGTTAACACGCGATCGTTCATGCCGGCTCATTTCCTGTTATGTTTTCTGTCTTTTATTTATACCTGATGTGTTTTACTGCTGTGGAGCGGAGCGCATCACCTGTTTTGTCCTCCGGTGATTTTACCGCACCGGTGCGGTTAGCGCGCAGCGCTATATTTGCGGTCGGTAGATCTTTTAGAACTGCAGTTCAAAGGTAACTCATGAGGTGAATATATATGAACCCAGGTAGCCGTTTTTCTTTAGGACTGAGAGGAGATGCAGGAAGATAATAAGCAGACAGGACAGAAACATAGTCAAATAAAAACAAGTGAACATTGGTTTGACATCAGTATTTGCTTTCCGGGAACGTTTGATTTACAAATTAAGCACTGAGCAACGCTCCATCTTGTCTCATACTAACCTATGTTAAACTCAATAGGTAGAAGCCGAGGGTCCTCCAGGATGTTTAGCCGTCTCTTCTTCCTCCAGCATCGAGCAGGATACGTGTACAGCTGACCGGGAGCATGACCTGAAGCACACGCAGACTTGTTATTTCAATCCTTCTCAGCTATTCACAGCTTTACAGGCAGGCATCGCTACTTTTGGCTTTGATTCATTGGAACTGGTTTGTTCATGTTTTAAACTGGTCAGAATGTAAAGAAAAAGGTTAGAACTTAGATCAATGTTCTACTATACAATCCAATTTAAGAAACCAACATTTTAATGTCTCAACTAACTGAGAATTAGACAGAAAACAGAAATTTGAAAGTGCTGCTTCCAGACCGAGCTGCACGCTTTGATGTATTCTTGTTTCTTTTTTCCAAAGCAACAAAAATAAATCGGAAGTTCAGGAGATGCTGTGCTTATGCACCAAACCCTTACCAAGAGTGGATGAACCTGGAATCCTGGTTTGAAAATCCAAGATTCAAGTTTGCCTAACGGTGAAGAAACTGAACAGTAACAGATACCAGCCAGCCTACAAACACACACACACAGGTGGAATCTCTGTGGTGTGCTTGGAGCCAGCGGCGTATCATCGCCTACAGGGGTGTCTGAATCACTGCCAAAACACACTCGTGTTACTAAAAAGAAGACAAACATTCGGGAAACACCCTTTGGGGGACAAAAACAACATATGGGGGTATGAGGAGGGGGTTGGAAGTCTGAGAAAGGGATGGCAGGAAAAATGGAGGAATGAGTAAAACTGAAACAAGCAGGAGACAGAGGAAAGCTGGGAGGCAAACGACTGGAGAGCTGAGTTTTAGTAGCACAACAGCTGGCAAGCACAACACACACACACACACACACACACACACACACACACACACACACACACACACACACACACCTGGTCCACGGTGGTTTTTCTCCATCCAGATGTAACAGTTGCTCTGGGCCACGCCGGTCTGAGAGTCCAGGAAGGGGAGTCGCATGGATCGCTCTGCACACAGGCGGGCGTTGTAGCTGCGGCAGTGTTCGATGGCCTCCCTGTAAAACTCCTCCCCAAGACTGTGTGTGTGTTGTTGGGTTTTTTTGGGGGGTGGGGGGTGGGGGGGACACAGGTTAAGACCAGAACAGAAACAGCAGAGAAATCCAAGTCTCTGCATCTAAGTTACAGGCTGACTTTCAGGAAGGCTTGAAGGACGTATATCTGCTGTGCATCTCCATAGCATGTCTACACACACACACACACACACACACACACACACACACACACACACACACACACACACACACACACACACACACACACACACAAACACTCGTCTGTCTTTCTATCATACTGAGGGCCATCCATTGACTTCCATTCATTTTTGTGACTGTGTTATGCCTAGCCCATGCCCCAACTCCAACCATAACCTTATCTAAAACACACACCATACCTCTAACTGGTATAGTAAGCTTCTAAAAAAGGTGAGAACCAAAAAGATGTCCTCACTTAGAAAAATGGTCTAAATGGTCCTCAGTATGTAGTATGTACAAGAACACACACTCGCACACACATGCTGTACAGTTAAAGCACATTTCCGTTCTGTTTTTATTTGAGTTTGATTAGATTTCAGTGTAATATTCTTGCTTTTGTCCTCCCCCACTCTCTCCACTCTCCCCCCTACCTGTTCTTGATGACTGCACCTCCAGATTGCCTGCAGGGGGAAGAAGAAGGAAAAGAAAAAAAACAACAGATGAGTGGTGAGTCACTCCGTCACCCCACCCAATTTCCTCCACAGTTTATTTGGCTTCTCATTCTCCTGCAACACGTCTCTTTCACTTTGTTTCTGGTGTGTCTTTCCCTGTTTAACGTTCACACTTCCCCTGTTTCTGTTTTCTTAATTCATTTCATTATTCTTCACACTTCTCTCCATCTTCCTTTTCACACTGCAGTTAATCACTCCTCTCTTGTGTCTTCCTGCTGAGTGCTGACATCAAGGTCACTCAGCTATACAGACTGTAGATACGGGACGGACACACACACACACACACACACACACACACACACACACACACACACACACACACACACACACACACACACACTAACAGTACTATGATGCAGAGCCAAAAATAGTGCAGCTAGCAGTATTTCAAGTATTTTTCTGCTAATTTACAACTAAAGAAACAACTGACTGATGAAGCATCAGAGCTCCACGGTGATTGCATATTTGTGAAAATTGTGATCTTTTTTCTCGTTATTAGTTTGAACGACTTGGCTTGGGCTTAGAAGGAGGCAGACTGAGTTTTACGCGCAAAAGATGTGATGCTGCTGATCCACAAAGAAGCAAACAAGGTGTCGAGTCCTGATCCTGCACACATTCTTCTTCTGTGCTTTTGGAAGTTTCACAAAAACTTCTGCTGTTTTTTTACACCGTGAACGTAATTCCAACCTCATTTTTAGTCAAGAAAATAAGTTTTTATTGACGCAAGAAAAAAAAAATTATCTGAGGCAAATTTGTGATACTTCCTGTCTAAACACATGGCTGTGCCAGAATAAAACCCAGCCTGGGTAATCCAGTGCTGGGTCAGATCCAAGCCTGCTGTTTCCAACACTGCGATGGGGGGTTAGTTGTGTCAAGTCCAGAAATAGTCAGTTTTCACCTACATATTGACCTACATGCCACCGGTCATCTACAGACATGATTCCATTCTCTAAGGTGGATTTTAAATTCTATCTTCCAACAAGCCAGGAGATTCTGCAGCTCTGAACACACGATAACATTTTTGCACAAAAGCTTTAATTGTCCCTTACATATATTATAGGGTTTTGTTAATTTTGTTCTTTTTGCAACGCTTTTCCAGTACACCTAGTTTACTGCATCCATGTCTTTCACCTGGACTCTGTTCACATAATATGCTCCTCATAGCACATACACATAGTGCTAGGTTTCTTTTTATTTGTTGTTTTACATCAGATGCAATCTATGTGTGGCTACATTCAAGTGCCCTGCGTGTGTGCTCTGCTCCTCTCCTGAGTTTTGCTAGATGTCCTCGCATCCTGGGATATCGTCTCTGCATCATTGCCTGATTCTGGACGTTCTATGGATTTCCTGCTATGGTTTCCTGGATTTCCTGGGCCTCTACGAATCGCTGCAGACCATGGGGGTCTGGTCTGTTTCCTGCTCACCTGCTTCTTGCTAAGTGGAATTATTATTGCCTGTTTGGAATGATTACTTCCTGCTTGGAGTACCGTTGACTATTCTCCAGTGTGGGGGGTTTGATTTTCTCCATCTGATGCTTCTGCCTGGGAACTAGCGATGGGTACCGAATTCTGTACTTTTTAAGGTACCGACCGAATTCCATAGTACCAACTGAGCACCGATTCATGTCATTTGAAACGGTGCCTCGTTTCGGTACCCGTCCTTCATAACGAGAACTTGCCTAGACAGCTGCGCATGTGCAAGAGCGTTACGTCGGTCACTGAGAGCTAGTTGTAAACAGAGCATCATGGTAGAAAGAACACACGCTAAAGCTTGGGTCCACTTCACTAAATGTGACGGGTAACTGGGTGATGATGAAACCAGCGACAGACAACGATCTAAGTGAGACATCCTCATCTTAATCTGCTCCGGTAGGTAAATAAAATGTTTAAGATAACGTTAGCTTGATATGTTAGCTTCCATTTTGCTAATGGTGCGTTCACTTTCTCCTCGGAACTCCGAATTTCCGACTGGAAGAACATGAGCGCGCTCTAAAGTTTGGCTTCACTTTACTAAATGCGACGGGTGATTGGGTGAAGATGAAACCAGTGACAACGATCTAAGTGTGAGGCATCATCGTTTTAATCTGCTCCAGCAGCTAAATAAACTGTTTAAGATAACGTTAGCTTGGTATGTTAGCTTCCATTGCCACCATTGTTATCAGCTAATGGTGCGTTCGCTTTCTCCTCGGAAATTCTAACTTCCCAGTAGGAAAAATTAAATGAAAAAGGACGGCAAAAGGAACGAAGATACACAGTAAATTTAGTTCACAGTAAACATGTTTGCTTCAGTTTAATTATCAGCTTATAAAACTACAAGGACGATGTTAAAATACAAACAGTTGTATGTTATTTATCGTGATATATATCAAATATGGTTATATATTGAGAAAATTATATATTTAATTATAAAAGAGAATTAAAATATTAAACACTCAAAAGTATCGAAAATTGGTACCGTTAAGTACCGGTATCGATTCCTAGGTACCGGGAATTAGTACCGGATCGATTCAGATGTCAGACATACCCATCCCTACTGGGAACTAACCTTTCCTTCCTCTATGGAGTCCTTAAGGCCTCTGGACGGTGACCCTGAAGTTCCAGGATTGGACATGTTTGGATTTATATCCAGACAATGTCCCATTGGTTAACATAGAGGGTGGGCAGTGCAGCCAGGCACAAGGGGGTGCATCTTTTGTGTCGGGGTTATGTTCCTGTGTCATTAGAACAGCATGTCGGAACATTCAGTCTCACTAAACCATTGCACTTCCCTGGGTCTTCCACTCATTACACACTCACATATTTAGCAGCAGAACACCACTGGTGTGAGAGGTTCTTTGCTCAATTATATGATAAATGACAAATGATGATAAATGACCCACACAGAAGACTCCAAAGTGATTTACACTACAGTGTATCATTCATCCAATCACACACACATTCACACACTGGTGGTGATGAGCTACAATGTAGCCGCAGCTATCAGAGATGGAGAAACAGCTGATTGCCACCTCTTCAAATTTAGGACTAACTACCAGAGTCCCATAAAGAAAAACACCTTTTGAAGTTAGGGACAACAAAAGACGTTTGGACCTAGAAAATGGTGATTGGTGTTTAGCGCTATCTTGTTTCCTCTGGCAATGTGGGTTTCTGGTTCCAGTGGATGTGGATCCAGGAAAGATACTGAAGGCAAGGGGTAAGTGTTCCATCACCATGTTTGTGTTCAAAACCTGCTTGTTTGTAAATTTGCCATAACAGCTTTAATCCAAGCAGAGGTTTTATGAGGTTTTATAAACAGTCTCACTGCGACTGTCCATTACTTTTGCAGGAAGAACCAGAAAAAAAAGACAGTCTAGATAAGATATGGCAATGAAAATATTCATTACTGCTAAATAACCAATAAACAAACAATTCACTTTTTTTTCTTTGCCATCAGAAAGAGTTACATTTTGCCCAGAAATAGTACATTTATTTGTGTCTTTTGGGGGCTATTCCCACCCAAATCTCATCAGTTCTTTTTAGCTTGAGGCCCCGATTTCTGCAAAATTTCATAGAAATATGTAAAACATTTTTAGATATAAACTAATTAACAGATGAAAAGTGAATCAAACTAACAAGCTCACAAAAACCTCTCTGACAGTGTTAATTATTGCAGTCTCCCTCGATTATACACAAGGTCACAACACTGAATTTCAAAGAGAGCCCAGAAGTGCAGAATGAAAGTTACGCTTTTTCAAATGTGTTTTTTTCTCACACACATAGAAAGATGGTGACAATGTCAAGCAAAATCTGGACAAAACCAGTACAAACTGGTTATGTTATCGGTGGAAATCACACCTGCAACACCATCAAATGGTCGTAGATTTTCTAGAAAGTGGCTGACATGTAAATCTGCTATATTCATGTCTACAAATGAACCACGGCAATCAACAGCTTCCCTTCTGAGAAGAATGACTTGTTTTGGGATAATTCTACAGTTCAGAGCTTGGATTCAGCTAAAATATGACCATCAGAGCTGTGGGTTGTAGCGGCTTCACCAGAACTATTCTTCAAACTGTGCCAGTATGGAGCTTTGTTTCCTCCCTAATGCCAGAGGTGGAAAGACTACTAAAATTTCCTACTTAAGTACGAGTACCAATACTTTGATAATTTTTTACTCAATTGCAAGTAAAAGTACTTGCCTAAATTTTTACTCAATTAAAAGTAAAAAGTATCGTAAACAAAATGTACTCAAAGTAAAAGTTACTTAGTTACATTTTTTTCAGCGTAAGGCTGGCTACATCTAAGTAGTGCTAAATCACAACGCCAGTTCACAATTCGCTCGTGTGCGCGCGCGCACACACACACACACACACACACACACACACACACACACACACACACACACACAAACACACTCAAACACACACAGCTTGAAGGAGGGATTTCTATCCAATCACGAGAACAGGACGTTCACATTGATTGGACGAGGTTTTTCTAGGATGGTAAGTTTCAATTGTGATTAAAATTATTCTTTATTTTGAAAAAAACAAAAAAGTTAATTTTAAGATGCCATCAGTGTGTGAGGTATCTCAATGTTTTCATGACAAAACTCTAACATGAGACTGTGCTCTAACCTGTCACATAACGAGCTAAATGAAAGTCAAATATTTCAGATGGACCGTATGACAGCTGCTAACGTTGGCCCTGCCCTACTTTACCTCTGCATTACAGTTCCTTTATCCATGTCCATCCTAGAGCTCCTCTCTGACCTTCATGCTTATTTAGAGCAGCTGATTTTTAAAGCTAGCAGAGTTCATCCTTGGTGGTGGGTTCACTCACTCATTTAACCCTTCACCACTGAAATCATTCCAATCCTCCTAAATAATCCTCCAATCATCCAACTGGAATCCTTAAGGGTCCCGTAACATCCATCCTGTCAGAACAGGCCTTGGGAGCCCAGGTGTTACTAGAACTAACGGTGTCTCCTCACCAGCGTGAGCCTCCAAACATGAACTTTAAATTCATGCATTTATCTCCTCTTGTAACACTTTAACATGTTTTAAAAGGTTTGCATCATGATATGTTTCACCTCCCAGACCAAAGATGAGATAAAACATTATCGTAGACACTATTAAGACGTCATTATTTATAAAATAGAAGTTATTTTCCTTTTCCTGAGCCATTACTGCAGCCAAGATATAAGATGCATGGATTTGATGAAGCCACGCTGTCTCATGCAATTCTATATGTGTAACACACACACACACACACACACACACACACATGCGCGCGCCCACACACACTGCAGCA